TGAAGGACAGCACAGGACACATGGCTGTCAGCAGGGGGAATCTGGCCAACTTAGCAAGGCATCTGGGGCAGCCAGGGCACCAAAAACTTCACCAACACTGAGAGCCCATTTTAATCAGTCACCAGACCGAGAGACGCATCTGAGGGGGCTGGGCCAGCCCCAGAAAGAGCAGGCCAGCAGGTCAGCCAGCCTTGCTGAGCAGAGCTGGGTCAAACACTTTGTACTGGAGGTAGCTGAGCTTCTCCAGACGTGTGTGTCTGAGCAGGGGGAACCATTCCCAGAAGGGCAGCTCCAGCACCACGTAGCCCAGCTGCCGGAGCTGCCGCCGCTTCAGGCAGTGCAGCCCCAGCAGCCGCTTGGAGCAGTAGCAGTAGTGGTTCCTGTTGGACACCTGCACAGCCAGCTTCAGCCTCCGGGGCTGCTGCTGCAAGGCAGGAGGAAGGGGGGCTCCAAGGCAGCCCCCTGATTGAGGCTCAGCTTGCCACCTGGTGTCTGTGGGAAGAGGTCTCCCTGAAAATGCAGCAGGTGCTTTGTCCCTTCTCTCCTGACCAAGAGTCCTGGCTCCATTTTCCACATCCAGCTTCTTACAGCTCCCTTGGATAAGCTGAGTCATCAAGTCATCCGTCAGACTAACCCCAATGTGTTTCAGTTTCTTATCTGCAAGGAAGTCTTTTGAGTTGAAAGGGATGGGATGTCCATCCATGGTCAAATGAACCTCCAGATCACTGGACCTGGTGTGAGGCAGGATCATGTGGCTCTTCACATACTCAGGGCCACCCAACATGCTCTCCAGCAGAGAGGTGGCCTCCACAATTTCAGGCCTGACATAGATCTCTTGCTCTGCAAAATTCAAAACCATCTCAGTCATCTCCTGATGAAGCTGAGGTGAAAGACGGCTGCCTTGGTAGCCTGGACACTCAATTTCAACACTCTTGCTGAGGGTGAAGAGGTCCTTTCTGAGCTCATATTTACTACTTCTCGTTTTCTGGACAAACTCATCCCTCAAGGCATAGTCTATCAGCTCCTCTGGGAAGCGTTTGACAAATGCCAGGCCGAGCAAACCAGTCAGGAGATGCTCTGGAAACTTCCTAAATTCATGGAGTTTTCTGTGCATCTGCTCTATGAGGCTGGAGTAAAACTCTTCCTCGTTTGGAGGTTCATAGTCCAGGCACCCAAAGGACCACAAGAACTTGGCAGCATCTTTGCTTCGGCAGTAAGTCACCTTAGCAGGCAAGGACTTGGCTACTGCAGCCATGACACCTTCATCAAAGTAGTGCAGGGATGAGTAGGTAAGGGTGATGTGCATGATGCCCTGGATGTTTGTGCTAGGAATCCGGGCGGGAATAACCTTCCCAAGCTCCTTCAGGAGGGGCAGGTGATCCATGCGAGTGTAGCGGAGCATTTTAAGGACGTTCACCAAAGCGTAGGTGCTCATGTCTTCCATCTGCAGGGCGACTCGGTCTGCAATCCTCCTCATGACATGCTCAGAGATGCCACTGAGGGACTTGAAGAGCCCTAAGCAGATGGCACCCACCTCCTCCAAGGTGAAGGAGTCCAAGTGCTTCAAAATCGTGCTCTCCACCTTCTGTGCCAAGTCCGCAGGCGCTCTCCGGCCTTCCCCGATGATGTAAAGGAGCTGCACGAACTGGGGCAGGGTGAGGTCTTTCCAGTGCAGGTTGGTGTAGCTGAACAAGATGCTGAGGTAGGAGGGCACGCTGCGCTCCAGGCAGCGCCAGCAATCTGCCACCAGCAGGAGCTGCTGCAGCTCCATGTCCCACACCCGCCGGCAGAATTCCCTCTCTAAGGCGTCCAGCAGAGGGTGGGCGGGTGGAAGCGCCAGACGGACACAGGCCTTCAGAAGGTCCACCAGCTCTGCAGTGCTGAACAACCCCACGTTCCCAGCAGCAGAGTGACAAAGAGTGTGAAAGCTGGGTTTGGACAACAACGCCGCGTGTTGTTCCGCTGGCAAACGGCTCAGCTTGAGAAAAGAATCTGTGATGGTTCCTGGGCTGGGGCTGCCCTCGCACGCGGCCACGCTGTGCAAAATGGAGTCACCTTCTTCTAAAGGAAGGGTCTCCACGGGCTCAGACTTGTCATAGCTGAGAGATCTGTACTCAGGCCTGCCCTTCTGAAACACGCGAGGGTCCTCCTTGGAGTTGTGTGTCTCCTTTTTTTCCATTTCTGCCTCCTCCTTGGCAGAGAGACAGGCTGAGATGGTCTGCTGGAGGAGCAGCTTGGGCCTGGGCTTGGCCTCGGCATTTCTGAGGGCTGGCCGAGCTGGAGGAGAGCTGGTACCAAAGGCAGGCTGAACCTCTGTGCTGCCAGGGCTGGTGAAAGTGTCACCCAAGGCCTGGCCACTGCTCTGAGCAGCATCCTGCTGGGAAGCAGCTCTGCCTTTGGCATAGGCAGATGGTTTGTACAACACTCTGTAGTCCAGGGGATTCAGCAGCTGGATTGTAGCCGCCGGTTCCGTTCCGGTGCTGGCTGCTCCTGGGTTCTCCTCCTTTTCCTGCTTATTCCCGCTGTTCCCACTCTTGGCCTTGCACTTGGCTGTAGCTGAAAATGAGGTCACCCTGCTCAGCCTCGGAAATCTTCGGCATATGAGCACTGTAGCCATGGATCACAACTGACTGGGCTCAGAATTGCTTCCAGGTACTGAAAAAAGGGCAGACGGAGAATCAGTGGCTTCCACCTACCACGGAGCACCTTTCAACCTACCCTTCAGGTTACCCAAACGGAGGGGATGCCAGTGCCTCCCCAAACCAGGGCTGCTGTTGCCTTGCAGAGCCCCTGAGGCAGCCACCATCCAACAAACACCATCTCATGCAAGGGCAGCTCACGACCCAGGTGACCTGCCCAACATCAGGGTGCAGAGCAGTTGGGTGCCACCTGCAGCTACGAGTCACCTGGCAGAGACTGTGGAAGTTGAGGTAAAAAACCTCATCTCTTCTGCACTTTTGCAAGAGCCAAACTGCTTTTCTATCATTCTGAAAAAAACGTGTTTTTGAAGTAAAGTTGCAGCTTCAGGAGACTTTAGGTATCCAGAGCTTTCTGCCCTTTGGGTCACCACAAGCTGAAAGATCAACCACCACCCAAGGAGCTGTTGAAATATCCAGGGTGCCACGTTGCTCTTCCCACCTGCAGACAGCACGTGGAGGCTGAGGGCAAAATCTCTGCCAAACCAGTCCCTGGAGTGCCAGCTGGCCCCAAACCTGCAGGTAAAGATTGGCTGAAAGGAGAAACGTGGCCCTGGAACAAAGGCAGGGAAAATGCAGGAACACAAATCATTGTGAGATGCTACATCCCGAGTGAAGAACCAGAGGAAACACAGCTTTCTGCTTCAGATTTGGGAGAGTCTCCCACAGTTTGAGGGTACAGCAGGCTTAAAAAATGCCAGATGCCTTCCCAACTCCTGCCCAAACCAGCTGGAGGGTGAGGATGAGGAATCTGTCAGGAGTTGGGCTGGGTGCTGCCAGCCTGCACAAGGTGCCAAACGAGCCTGTTGATGATTCAGATGCTGAATAAAATGTAAACCAAAAGCACCAGGGCAGAGCTCTGTGTTACACACCTTCATCACAAGCCTGAAGATGTGCTTTAAAATCCCTTGTGCTCTCACCACCACGGGGTGCTGAGCGACCAGGAATGGCAGAGCCTGGCAGGGATGCTGCAACAGGATAAGCATGAGCTCTGTGCTTCCCACCTTGGGGAAATGAATCCCTGACAGGCACCCTCTGAGCTCTGCTTGGACCTGCTGCTTCCCAACCTGGCCAGGAGCAAGATGATGGATCAGTGCTGCCACACACAGGGAAATGGACACTTTGGGGGAAGAAGAGGTGGGGGAACACTGTGGCTTTGGGGTCTCTGAGTGGGAGAGGGATGGGAGTGCACAAGCAGCTCTGGCTGAACCTAAATTGTTGGGGTCTTTTTGAGGACAAGAATCCCTGTGTCTGCCACAACCCATCAGATGATCCATTACTGCCTTGCACAGGCAAAGCTTCAGCCCCTCTCCAGGAGGTTGAGGTGGGAAGGGAGGGAGGATGGGGAGGGTTGAAGAGGGGGGGCTTTGCTCCCTCTTGGTGCCAGATGTGGGGCTCCCTGCAGCAGCCTCAGCTGTTTCTTGTGCACCCTGAACCTTCTCAGAGCAGCAAAAGCACTGAGAGGAGCAGGCAGGCAGGACAGCTCAGGCAGAGGCACAAGCAGCCCTGCTGCTCTGCCTTGGCCTTGAGGGGCCTCAGCTTCTGCCTGAGGACAGGATCTGGGCACAGAGCTGCCATGGGAATGCTCCCAACCTGCTCCAGTGCCAAGCCAAGAGCCCTCTGGGATCAACCATGTGGACTTAGTGAGGCAGCTGAGATCTCACATCCTGTGCTCCAAAGGCAGGGCCTGGGGGAAGATGCTGGGTGAGGAGGAGCTGCTGGAGCAGAAACTCTCTCAGCCACCCCAGCAGAGAGAGAGGTGAAAAAAAGCAACTTGGGTGGAGAACAGGGAGCCCCGGTAGGAAAAAAAAAAGCCAAGGGCAAGCTGAAATGAAGCTTTCTGGAGACAGCCAGGCAAGGAGGAGGGTACAATGAAGAGGCCAAGGTGTTTTTAAGATGACCAGTCAATGACTGATAGATATTGTGAGAGGCTCACTAGTTGCTAAGCTGGCTGGGCACCTGGTTTGTACCTCCAGAGACATGATGGAGCAGCTCCCCCCTGGTGCAGATCAGGCTCTGCTCCACAGACCAGGCTCTGCTGAGCCTCATTACTGCTCCCAACCAGCCAGGCTATGACTCTCTTCTTCCAGTGTGAGAAGTCAAATAATGGAATACAATCACAGAATTGTTGGAAAAGACCTTTAAGATCATCAAGTCCAACCCTTCCCCCAGCCCTGCCAAGGCCACCACTGCCCCATGTCCCTCAGCACCACATCTACAGGGCTTGGAAACCCCTCCAGGGATGGGGACTCCATCTCTGCCCTGGGCAGCCTGGGCCAGGGCCTGACAACCCCTTCCAGGAATAAATTGTTCCCAAGATCCAACCTCCACCTCCCCTGGCACAATTTGAGGCAATTCCCTCTTGTCCTACCACTTGCTCCTTGTGAGAAGACACTGGCACTTGCTTCTCTACAAAACCTCTCTTCAGGGTGCTGTAGAGACCATTAAGGGCTCCCCTCAGCCACAGGCAGGAGAGACTTCACCTCTTCCTGACTTTCTGGAGAGAAGGGGAAAGGGCAAGTCCTCACAGAACCTGGGCAGTAAAACCTGGGCAGTAAAACCTGATTCAAGTTTTGTCATGCTGTGGCTCAGCCCCAGAGATTCTGCAAGGCCCTCAGAGGGCCTGATTCAATCTGCAAAAACCATCTTGGAGAATAGATTTGTCCTACCTGAGCTTTTTGATCAACTTTCTTGCCCAAGTCTTATTTTAGGTGTCTTCTGTCTCTTCTGCTGTCCCTGAGAGACAGGCCAGCCCCACAGAGAGGCACAAGGTTCATTTCAGACAAGCCCTGTTTGCTGTGAAGAGGTGACAGCACCTGCAAAACCAGGAGCTCTGCTGCCCCCAGGAACACCCCTCTCAGCAGCCAGCCCTGCTCCAAAAACAGAGAGACCCCAGGTCAGAGCACTCCCACACCAAAGGAAAACGTTGCCAAGCTCCAGCCACACAGTTGGATGCACCTGGGAAGCTGTTCAGTACAGAGGATATTTCCTTCCTCCTTGGCTGCAAATCCAGCAAAGAACAAAAAGATCATGCACAGGGAAGAGAGGTCAGGCTGGGTCAAGATACTTCAAGCACCTCTGAAAGAAACAGACTGAGCCCAAGTGGCGTTTTACTCATGACTTTCCCACCCACAGCCTCCATCTCTGTGATCTTTCCAGTTCTTACACCATTTCTCTTCCAGCTCTGCTTGATTTTGCTTCCTTCCCTGAGTAATCAGCCTTCCCTCTTCCTCCCACTTTCTGGTTCCAACACAGCCAAACTCTTTCC